CTAAAATTTACTTAAAAAAATTATTTATAATTAAGTCAAAGCTTTTCAGAAAATCAATATAATTCATTTATAATTACGTCTTAGAGTTTATCTTAGAGTAAATATAAGACTGGGAGTATAAAGAATATATATAATAATAACTATAATCAGCTTCCTATCGATATTTTTCAATCCCTAATGTAACTGTGCAGGTTTAACGACGTGCTGTCTGCGATTGTGTCAACGCACGCGATTTACAGCCGCAGGACAAGGTTGTACATGGCAGCGACGTCAGACTGAGATAGGGCTTTACACTTACATTGAAAAAAACATACCCATCCTTTAATGGTTAATGGAAATTTCCATAAAGAACACCTATTTAAAATCAGTATTCAATTACATTAATGATTTAATTTAAATAAAAAGAAAACATTAAACTTTAAAGTTAACTAGCAAAAGTAATAATATATATATATTGTTACTGGTATTATACGATAAGCATTGTGTGTAGCATGTATGAAGCGAGATAGTTCCCAGTTAGTTGTAGTAAATAGATTACCTTTGTGCTTGCACGTAAGCCTTTAAGTCGTAAGACGCTTTTATCGGCTGTAAGTTAATTAATGGCTTTGTGATAAAATTGCACTAGTCTACATAGTACGGAAGCGGGGGAAGCGAGGGTCGTGATTTATGCAAAAATTGCTGAAGCTACATAAAACCACAGGCCGCAGACGATTTAAACTCTACTTTTTCAGAAGAATATAAAAAAAACTATTCGTCTTCCATTTTAGTTAGAAATTGAGTTAAAATTGGTATGTAAGATTGAGTTAGATTTAATTTAAGCAAGAGTAATATGTATAAAGAAATAGCAAAACAAAAAAGATAAATGACATTTTAGAAATTATTTTCTTATCTGTAGTTATTGGAGAACTAAAGTTTTGCAATTAAAGTTGTTACATGACACATAATGGCTGACAGAATTATAAAAAGATTACTATAACAAAATGAAAATTGATGCTCATTTTGAAAGATTAAATTTTATTTACAACTCCAACCTTTTAATTATCTTCCTACGTGACTTTCGTTTGATAAATATATAAAAGAGTTTCATAATGTACATATATAATCGCATATATAATCTGGCTTTCATACATGCAATTACATTACAGTAATAGGTATTGTGCTTAGCAATATCGATTAGTCTTTGATCCGGATGCTCTCTTACACCAAGTCTCCCGGCAGCTAGACTTGATATACAGCCGCAAATGGCTAAAACGTTCCTTAACGATACTCAGGGCTGCGAAGATTACTTATACATTAATACATATTCAATTATAATAAACATTCTATGAAAAAAACACTCGTAATTCTAACGAGATCTAAGACTTTCTCGAGTTTTATTCATTTAAATGAAACTAATATTTTTCGGATATACTTACAACGCGGTTTATTTTTGTCAAAAAACTACTGTTCCGACGTTTCGTAAAAAAATGCTATACTTGATGATAAATAACAAGACCAACTGACAGACATTCACATCGCCTACCCGTCATCACGGTTGCTGAAAATTTGTTGAAATTTGTTGAAAAATTCTGTTCAGACTTGATATGTTTTAATAGTTACATTCTACGAGAATTTCTATAATTATTTTCAATAAAACAATGTATTTATTATGAGAGAAAAACAAATTGTTTACGTTACTTCATAGCGTATCGCAGTTATTATTGTTTAAGTAATATATTTTTTCAATATGTTATTACAATAAAACGGTATATAAATATTAATATTTTAACAGTTTTTTATTGATATGTTTTTATTATTTTAAATATATAGATATGAATAAATATTACCTCGTTTTGCTGCCTTAAAATAGGTTTCTCCGTAGAGGTTATATATTTTCTTACGTTTCTAAAGTCATTTGTATTAGCTCATATTTTTCAAAGCAGATGAGACATCCGATGCTTGCATCAACTAATGTGAATCTCCTCACGGGATTACGTCACTCTATGTATCTGGTTTCCAATTTACCTTAACGTAATAACTTTCTATAAGATTCATATTGATTCATCAAACTCATAGTTACAAAGAAAGCCCTCATATAAAGATAAAATTATGTATTTCTTGGCGGTTTTATTATCAGAAATGCTTTCAGTTAAAATTCAATAAAGATTCGATTTAGCGTTTGTTATAAATACGTAGTATATAAGTATTAAGAGTCGCTTTGCCCGGCACCCAAAAATATTAATATTCCCAAGGAGTGCGTCCAATTTACCTTGTCTGTCCCTTCTCTACAGGCCGAGTTACTTTCCATACTAAATCGTACCTTATATAAATTATTGTTATTCATACATAATTCACTATAAACATAGGCATTTAGAAGATTATATACCTAATATATATTATAATACACAACAAAATGACTCATAATTCTTAAGTAAAATACTTCAAGAAATTTATCCACATAAGTCTAGTTTGAGCGATTATTCTAGAAGTTTATTTTTAAAATTGTTTAACTCTCCTTTCTTTCTAGCCGTGTGTTGTACAAATTAAACTTACATCTAGCAGGTGGTGTTTGAAATGGTAGTTACTTTAAACTTTTAATTTATGTCATTCTTTATCAAACATTTGCATGTAAAATCAAAAAGTATTTTCTCCTGATTACACAGTACACTCAAAACTTTATAGTATTTGTATAACTTGAAACATTTGAAGTACAATTAAATGTATTATTTCAACGAATTAATTGTTAATGAAAATTAAATCTAGGATGAAAATATTGCATCATCATCAGCAGAAAGACGTCCACTGCAGGACATAGGCCTCCACCAAGGATCTCCACTTAAATAAAAATAAATAAAATAAATATGTATGTACTTAAATAAAAATTTACTATTTAGACTCCAACATCCTTTTAAACATAGATATTTTATTTGTACGAGTTTTAAATTAAAATCCAATAAATGAAAATCCAATTTTAACAAATAATGAAAGCGAAGAATTTTATTAACAAAAGGTTTATTAAAGAAGACTCGTACAAAAAACAAAATGCCAATCATAAAGAGACGCTTTGAACTCTGAAATATTTGAAAAACTATACGTTCCAATGAATAAATGCACATTCGTATTAAATATTACGTAAAAAATATTAATTTTCGAATGAAGCCAGAGCTTGAATTGAATGAAAGAAATAATGAAAAAAGATATACTAAAATAATTCTATGTTCATAATTCTTTATATACACCGTTGTTCACTAAAATTGTGAAACAGATCAATTGCTATTTTAAACATTAAACGGAACATATATGTTTTTAATTATACGCAAAATAAATAACCGATGGCATCAGTTTCAGGAAGATATACATACATACATATATTGTTTATAAACCTCGGTTTGGCATTCTGCCTTATTTTCCGCGTAATACATCAATATATTCGAACTTTATAAAATAAATATACCATAATTAGTATCGGTCCGTATTGGAAGTCAGTGGTGGACTAGTGGTTAAAAGGCCCGCCTCTCACACACGAAGGCGCGGGTTCGATCCTGGCCCTGCAAGTAACAATGTGATTTTTCCGAGTCATATGTACTTTCTAAGAGTATTTAGACATCACTGATTAATGCAATCAAAAATAGGGTTGATGTCAGGCAGGCGGCCGGTCGGAATAACAATTATCCAAAACTATTCACAATATGTAAGGCAGAACTTATCTAAAGCTAGGAAATCGCCAGGTAGAAGAAGAATAAGTATTGTGCTATCAACTGTAAACTAAAGATATGATTTCCCATTGATTTCTAGGTTCAGTATATATTTTTCTCAAACACGATCTAACCTGAATCGTCCGAGAATTACACAAAATCCAATGCAAATCCAATAACAAAGTTTCAGAGACCGTGGCAGTGCTACCGATCTCGTTACTAGTAAACTTGGTTATGTATGGCTCGTGTGCATATTCGATTTAAATGTTTCAGTCACTTTACCTATTAGGCTGTTAGATTCTACTTATGTTAAAACCAATAAATTATTTTTAAATAATGTGCTTTTTATGACCTATTCTACACTTCATAGTCTTTGTATTTACTTATTGTTTTGTTTAACGACAAATGGCTTATTGTATGATAATTTAAATATAATAAAATGTATTAATTATCTTACTTGTTGACAATATAAGAACAGTCTACTGATTTTTTTTACGTGATCAAAATGCACTGAATTTAAGACTGTAATAAAGCATCAAGGCTTGATAGTTTTGTACAATAATCAAAAGTTATACTTAATTTAGTAATATTGTATGAAAATAAGATTATACATGAGAACAATAAAATAATTATTTTGTTAAATGCAAATTCCCGATAAATATACAATTGCTAAATCTTCATCTGGAATTACGTCTCCGTTACTTTCATTTAGTAGACTTAAACCACATTTAGTTTAGTTGTTTAAAGATGAAATTGAAATTATTTCTTTTGAATAATTATTACATAACAGTAAATGATAGTCATTTTATTTCTATAATGTATTTATTAACATTAAGTATATCTAAATAATAGTTAAATTAATAATTCTTAATATAACCTCCCTTATTTTCTACAAATACTGTGATGTTCGTTTCCATAAATTTTCTGCTAATATATATATATTGGATAACTTACATAAATAAAGTTACTTACTTAGTTATTATTAAAAAAATGTATTATCTACATATATAAAAACATTAAGGAGTATCGAAGGCGTGAAGTAAATAATTAATCCTTTTGATATAACAAATTGCAAAAGATTACACATAATAATAGGGGATTTACAAAAATAATTGATAATCTTCTGTAATCGTTTTATTTTCAGCTTGACTTTATATTTTTATTTTGGCTAATATTTCAATTTGTCAATAATTTCTCTTAAGATCTTCAGATTTAATAAAAGCAATCGTCATATCTTTCTATATCTGAGATCCAATTACGAGTAATGTCCTAAGTATTTCATTTCTAATTATTAATTTCAAAATTGATACACTAATAATTTAACATTTACGTATCGTATCTTTGAAACTGTATTAATATAACTAAGTAAGTGGTCACAGCTCCTAGTACCTGGAAATTAATACAAACAAATAAGTTAAATATACTGAATCAATTAAGAAATTGGCTGAGGATATATGAAGATGGAAACTACTGCAATTTAGAAGTCCCATACTATAGAGAATGTATCACGCAAATTGTATTTATATGAAGTGACGTGTCTGAATATTATTCGTCACCTTTTTATATATAGCTTCTGAATACTAAATCGAGACTGGTATTGATTTTTTGATTAACACATTGTCATATATGTATATGAGATGAAAATAAATATTTACCGATGCAACAAGCGGTCGATCGAGAGTGCACATTCCCATTGGAGTGTAACTGATGGATTGAAGCATCAGCTGTCTTGAGAACAGCTCCAACCGTGAAGGAAGCATCCCAGTGGATGGAGTAGACGTCATCAGACGACACACCAATACTTCGGTTCTACGACTCTGATTATTGATAAAGAGAAGCTTATAGAAGTAATATAGTACGAGACTAAAACGTATAGGTATATACAGGGTGACTGGTGAATTACTATCGATACTTGAGGACGTGATATTTGACGATCATATATGACAAAATAAAAATTAATTTAACATAAATATTAATAAACTTCTAAGTAAAGTTAACCAAAAGTTATGTAATTAATTACGCATCGTGTGAACACCCTACAGATTAGGTATACACACACACTCACACATACGCGTGCGGCGGCGTGGTGTTGTATCAGCACGCCGCCGCACGCGTCCACACTTGGAACACTTGGAACGTGTACACACTTTATTTATTTATACGGAAATTAGGTCAAAAATTAAGTACCTATTTTTTTACATAATTCGAATGAGAATCATGTACCGAGTATGCTCCTTAAATATTGATAGTAATTCACCAGTCACCCTGTATAGCTAGCTGACGCAGCAAACGTTGTTTTGCCGTAAAAAATTTTTGGGTGTATATATTTTTAATGGCATATTATAAAAAAAAAAATTTAGGAGCGAACAACCCTTATCAATTAGGGGTACAAAAATAGATAGTTCCGATTCTTAGACCTACTGAATACGCATATAGAATTTGGTAAAAATAAGTAAAGTCGTTTCGAAGTACGGTAACTAACATTGTGACATGGAAATTTTATATATATATAGAAAAGTCTATGTATCCCATCTTCTAAAAGATTTCTAATACATATTCACATCATGTTTTGTCTCTTAAATATGGATCCTAAGAGCACTGACAGAGTCATATTAAACGGAAATTATTATGTCTATATCACTGCTTTTCCTTTTCTCCTAGCAATTTCCGTTTTTATCATAACTTTTTCCTTGCACGACTATAAATAAAACATGTATATACATATGGAGATTAAGTTATTTTGGTAATATCGTCTGATCCATTGGTCACTGTAGCTTATTTTTCTGTATATTATATTATATTATGCAAGTTTTCTCTATGCCTACCTCTGTAATAGTGTAATGACAAGGCTCCACGACTACGAACATCCGTATAAGATGCGTCATGCACCAAAGGAATTGTAACACCAGAAAATGTATTCTATGTGCTGAAACAACTGTGAAAAAAATTAGCATTGTTAAGTGAATTGTAAAATTTCAGACGTCTTAATAAAAGATGTCAGCTGAAAATGGCTTAAAAAATTCATCAGGGTACTTAATTATACATGATTTTAACGTTCTTTTTGAATTAAGCATTAGAATACAAGATAATATTATCCTATAACGCTCCCTAGTAGCAGATTATAAGACTACAGAAATATACGTGAACTGGATGAGCGCCATCTCTCGGAAATTTTTGGAACTGGAAAGTAACACGACATAAAAAAAATGAGGGTTCGAGTCAAAAATAACAACTAATTATCATATTATACAGATAAAACTATTTTAATTACTATAACATCCAATACTTTTACTTCAATAACTTTTCATGTGGGTTCATAATAAAAAATTATATTTGCTTACTAATTTCCATGATTAAAAAATACGGTGTAACAATCAAGTGCAGCAACGTCGATATGAGAATCACTATCAGCGGTAAGCCATAGCTGTTGTCAATACGGTGCACCACGTTACACAAGGATCCGTGAAGACTAGCCAGACGTCTGATGGCTTCACACGGTGGAACTATTAATTTAGGCTCTCCACTCACTGGAAATAAAAGGAGAAATAATACGAAACAAGTCGTAAGGACAGTTGTTTCTATGGTATACTATGGCGTAGATATTTTTGTTCAACAAACCTGTATTTCTAACAATGACTGGATGTGGTTGAGGCTGCTCCCGACGCTCTCCGATTTGAATAGCAAACATGTTCATCGGAGTAGGCTCCTTGACTTTCTCTACTAATATATAGAAGTATATTATTCCAAATGATATATTTGTTTCAAGTAGACGAATCGATCTGATTTATTTGAATTAGAATATAAAATAATCTTTCTTTTTCACTTTAAAGAACTTTGTTCTCATTACGACAACGTCATTTACATGAGAACTTATAACTAACTTATAAATATAACAATTCGTTCGGATCAGCAAAAGAGATGAGAACAGTTTCAATTAATTATTTTAACAGAGAATCGTTACACAGAATATGGTTATAAAGTCGAGATTTAAACATAGAAAAATTTTGATAGAGTTTTTACATGTTTAGGTAAATTTAAAATTGGTATAAAGTTTTTGCCGAACACGATTATTCTTAACATAAAAATTGGTTTATATCCATTGAACTGACAAGCATAATATGGTTGGTTAAGAGTTCTGTATTGTAGATAGTGATGAATAAACTTTATGGCCTACCAGAAACAGACACGTGCCTCGCAGTCAACGCAAGAGCGTCGTTTACAGCTTGGAATCTCGCTCGTACTGAAAGCGCTGTGAACGCAAACTGTAGCTCCAGAATCATCACTACATACCACAGCAAATAGAAACCGATGTAGTTGGTGACAACTTCCCCTTAAAATGACATTTTAATATGAATTCACTTAAACACCACACAAATATCAATAATATGTTTGCGTACATACATTGTCTGTCAAATTTTTTGGCCTGCAGCGCATAAAAACAGAAGTCATCAGCAATAAGAACGGAAAAAAATATGAGTATCGCGAGCAGGATAGCACACAACTTCCTCTCAGCAACCAAAGAGTAATGTGCTCCAATACTTGTATCTACCTGTAAATAACAAAACGTAAGTTTGAATAGTTTGAATTGAACTATATGGAAAGCCTCAATTTGGATGCGATTTTCTTGGTATGTTCTATTTCGTCCTGTACTACTTTAATGATATCTTATGATGATGACAAAATACAGTTGTTTTTCTCAACTTATGAAGTTAAAATTAGATTGCTTTAAGTAAGTAATTCAGGATTCTAGATCACATGAACTTGGTTAAGAGAATTTTGTTCCTATAGTATCTGCAGGTCTCAAATTATAATAAAAAATATCATTTTTAACAAACACATGTTCCAGTTTCTTCATAAATCTTTCTTTGATAGAATGAATTCGTCAATTAACCTAAATATACTAACAGAGGCGACACTCTCCATAAACTTTAGCATATTTCTCATTCTCTTAGGAGCACCGTAGACTCCCGCTCCCGCTGTAATCACCACGACTAAAACGTCGCAAGTCGACACAAACTGCGACATCGTAGATGACATTCGAACAGACATCTCGACACCGACGTTTATTTCAGCCACTAAACCGAACACGGTACATATTACTGAAAGGAAAAAGCAAAAAAATGAAAACCATTACTTAAATTAATTTTTTTTAATGGGAAAAGGGGGCAACCGAGCAGACGGCCTACCTGATGGAGGTAGTAACATCGTCCATAGACATTCGCAACTTAGATTTGAAGATGTGTTGCCGCTCTTAATTGGGGAAAAGGAGGATGAAAAGGTGGGAAAAGGGAACGAAAGTAAAGGTCAGGAAAAGATGGGAAAAGGGAAAGGGCAACAGGATCTCTCACTCAAAGGACGCAAAGCCGTTAAGAATATTAATAAAGACTACTACATGCTGATTTTCTGTGAGAGGGTGGTACTCCCCCGGTCGAGCTAACCCGTGTTCGAGCTAGTTACATGACCACAAATAGGCTCTACCAACCCACAAAAATGAAAAATGAAAAGAATGTCTGTTACTTACCTAAGACAGTCACCAGTATGTAACTGTAAATGCACATCGGGTTTGACATCCTCACGGAGAAGCCATGACTCCTTGACTCAAACCTCAAGGGAGCGAGTCCGAAGAAACTGGATATCTGGTAATAAATATTTATTACCTGGTAATTAACGTAATCTCTGGTAATACATGTTGACTCTTACAATGCACAATCCAATAAGATTTTAAGATTCAAATAATTAAAGGCGGTGGTTTTTTACAAAAAATATATTTATATATAAATGAAAATAGAAAACAACATGAAAACATATACCTACAAGATATTTCTTATTTGTGTTCGAAGTGAAGTTAGTATAAGATTGGAGTAGACAACTAAGATTCAGAGCTTTGCCTTATTTTTAATTTTTAAGATACTTCACATACCACTTATTTTATGTAATATCATATTGTTAGATAGCTTTATTGTCTTAATTTTTGATAATCAATTTTAAGGTTTTGTATTCACTTTAAATGTTAATCACACATTATCTGGTCAGAGACTAAAAAAATAAATGAAAAGTAAATATAACTGACTAAAGTTTCACGTCTACTGATTAAAAAAAATGCCTTTTTCACTACACAAAAAAATTCAACTTTTGACTAACAGACAAAGCTAATATTTTCTTAATACCACGCATTATTCCCCTTTTTTAAAACTACATAAAAAATCTACGCGTCTGTCCGTGATCATGATGACTGAAAATCAACCGAAACGTCGGGAGTATGTAGATATAAAATAACGCGTAGAAATCCGAAAATATTAGTTTTATTTGAATTAATTTTCGCATAAGTCACAGATCTTATTTTCGCTTACATATGATAAACGATTGAACATTATTCCGAATTCACATAATATTGCAGACTTACGAGAAAACCAGCAATAACTTCGCGGACATATTATTTCTAAGCGTCAGCTGAACTAATACTGTGTGGACGCACGATGTTTTCTCAACTATCTGATTTGTTTTTACACCAGCCTTGTATTACTGGTCAACTTGATTTAAAACCGACTTAAAAACATCGACTACACGATAGCATGTGCAATGATAGCAAACAAATTGTAATAGTGAATTAATTTTAGATAGTCTTTGACCTTTTTTCAGAGTTACCAAGAAATTCATGAGTGATTTTTGCATTTAACGAATGTAGATGGTAAATATTATCGTCATGTTTTACTGTGAAATTTTATTTGAAGGATAAAACAGAAGGAGATTCAGATTTGACAGATTTTCAGATTCAGATAGTAAGTTACATTATTAAACCTTAGTTTATAGTACTTACTTACCCTTAGTATGAAAGCATGAGCGCCGCCCACGACGCAATACATGACTTTTCCGTTCTGGCCGCTCTCACCATCTGCGACCACAGTTGCGTTTTCTACTTTAGCCGTTTCCGCACCTGAAAAAAATAATACAAATACAGATTCCAATCAATAATCTAGTCCTTATTATATTTATTGAATAAGTACTCTAAAAACTTTTATCGATCGAAAGAGGTCCACAAAAAATCTACCATAAGATATTATAACGTACCATGTCCATTAACAAAAAATCTAGATAACTGAATTTGGTTCACACTCATATGTTAATTTCAACCTATAAATTAAAAAATACCACTTACCATGAACCAAAGCTTACGAATTTACGGACTTTTATACACAAGATTTTGATAAAATTATAACACAATAATAGGTAACTTATTGATCGTTACTTTTTTAAAGAATTGACGCATTCAAAAACTTATTATATAAAAATATCAAAAAAAAAAAAGAATAAATCGCAAAATTGTCACGAAAGTATTAATCTTATTATATTTCAAATCAAAATTCATTGGTCATTACACTACTAAGACATCTTCTATCCAAATAACTTGAATTTAAACAAGTTATATTAATTAAAATGGCCGAAATCCGCGTTATATCTTCATAGAACTGGCTTGGAACGTTTCATAAAATGTAATTGATATCTTATCAGTTACTCCTATTAGTTTTACAAGCAATAAAAACTTTTAAATTGCAGCCCTGGGAAGTGTGTCAGGTGCGAACGAAACCAGTAAACATTACACATGAACATACAACTGATATTGAAATATATTACAACTATTGAATCATCTGTAGTTGTAAAGCAGTTGAAAGTTGAATATCATATATAGTTGTAAATATCTTTGTATATATTTATTGAAATATCAATATTTATACGCTGAATACTTGTCTCGATCCATTCGTTTTCGGTTGTTCAAAAATATAAGTAAGTATATATCAGTACTTAAATAATTTCGACTTAAATAATTGCTATTTTAAGTCAGTTCAATACAAATTCAAATACGAAAAAACATGACGGTAATAACACTTCGTTTTGTATGTCTAAATAAATCGGAACAATTTTCATAATGCTTAAACCATTGGAGCATTAATTCTATTTTTTTTTCCATTATCTCGCAATTACCTTCCGTTTATTAAGTTAAAATTGTTGGACATTACAAAGGAATTAGCGTCTTAAAACTTTGGATACAATATGATTATATCTCATTAGTATAAAAGTATATAAAAATATAGAAATAAACAAGTAAATGATCAGATTAATGGAGCTTTAAAAATATTTTTTTGTATTCTGACAAAAAAAAAATAAAGAATAATTTATAATAACTGATATACATATATTTTATTTATAATCATTAAAACTCTTTTATTATACAAAAAAAATAGAAATAGATATACCAAATTTAAATTCAATGAAACAAAAACTAAAGAAAAGAAAAGAAATTCCCACCAACTTTCAGTATACAACCTCATTTTGAATCGAAAATATTAATTTGTAAAAATAAATTCTATTTCTAAACAACTGGAAATCGTCCTAATTGCTGAAAGTAAGTCTTCACTCAGACCATTGAAATTCTTGAATAGATCTATACAAAATTTATAACAAAACCAACAATGAAATGCATGAAGTTAAATAATTTAACAACTGTAGATAATAATTTATATATAGATACAGATTAAATAAATATAGAGAGAATTTATAACATTTCCAGTTCATAAATACGTTTTGATGACATTCGAGTTAATAATATTAATGAAAATCATATCTACATTTTTCAATTTAATATTATTATTTTATTAATCGTCAGAGCAAATTTCGCCGTTAGCTTACTCATTGTTACATATATATTGTAAATTAAATATGCTTTTAGAAAAGTCTGCATGCTTTCAAAGTTGTTTACATTTTGAATACACGAACTACGAAAAGTTTTCATTTTACCATTTCTTACGCTTAGTCTGAGTCAGCAACAAAATACTACACGTTAACAGTATTTTTCCACAAGTCATAGGACTTGTATTAACGTAGGTTATTGATTGAGAAACGCGAAACTCTTCCTATGTAGCGAGACGATGAAAACTACTACTAAGGAAAGTATAGGTTTTAATTTGTTGGTAATTAATTTTAATAATTCACAGTATACATTCACATAGCATGTACGATGACATGATAAGTAAAAATATAGTTGTGTTCATGCGATATTTAATTATATTGGAACATAATTATCACATGATGTGACACTGGCTTGCGTAATAAAAGTGTATTTTAATGAAAATTGATGAAAAAAATCATCAGCATCATGATATATGGCTTTCGCGAGTATTCATTTAAATAATACAAAAAATGTCGGATGTACTATCGATTTATCCCGAAGTAAACAATACGACAAAGTATTTTATTTATTTTATTTATTTATGTACCAAGAACAAGTAAGACAGAAAAAAAAGTATGTAGTTTAAAATAATAAAAAAGCGAAATAAGTCCGAAAATATTATAATTTAAATCATCAGCATTTACGTAAATTAGAAATTTATTATCAATAACTAAAAATTTTAAGCTCTATTTTATGATCAATCGATTATGTACAAAGAACTAAATAAATCTAAGTCTCTAACATGCAAACATTTAACTTTGTAGTTTTATTTCAGATTTTATCTCTCTTAGAAGTAATTATTTGTATCAATTCATTTATTTAAATTATAATTAAAACTTTAGATCAAAATTTTGAAGCTTACCAAAAAGAATAAATTCATTTACCTTTTAATTCGATAATTATACTTGTTAGCTTTGTTACGTACCTCGTAAATCTTGTAGAAATTATTGTAAAATTACGTTATTAAATTATTTCATAATTTAAACGTAATTTTTGATAAAGGTGAAATAGAAGAACCTATTCTAATCTACTAGAAGAACATGAAAACAAATCATTAAATGTTTGTTTATGAAACTGTCTAAAATTGTTTTTTTTTTCTTTTGAATAGTACGATCGTTTGTGACATATTGTTTTTTTTAGCATTTGATTTGAGAGCTTATAAAATATTTAATATTTATCGGAATGTATTGTGACGCGGTGTTTGTGTGCCCTTGCTGGGGTCAGAAACAATTAAATCAAAGGCGACAATCTGTTGTTATTAATCACATAATTCGTATATTATTAAATTATATTCACTGAACATCATTTATGGCAAACTATGTATTACGGTTTACATTTAAAACACTGAAAAAACGCATATATTTTAAGGCGCGATTCAGTTACGAATGATCTGATTAAAAAAGAATTATTAAAATAAATTATACAACAATATTATTGTTTCAATTTAAAAAAAATAATCAAATCCTTTCAATTTGCCCCAAGTTGCACAAGCTAAGCTATACAATTTTAGAGGCTTCACAATATACATAGTTAAAATATAATACGAATAAATAGAAATAGTAATTGAACCAGAAAAAAGAACAATTAAACTATAAAAAAAATTATAATATCAAGAACAATAATAGTTTTAAAATACACTTAAATAAATATAGAAAAAAAAACAGCTTTTTTACGAATTACGAAAGGAGAAATAGATATTTTTGGTAGATTAATTTTTTTTAAATACACACCCATAAAGGAGTTTTCTATTCAATTACATCCTTTTTTTCATCTCTTCGAATTAAAAATATTAAGTGTAGCGATGCACGCGTCAATTTTACTCGCGAGCGGAAGGTGCACTGGCATACGCTAACAAATTTTCTCATTTAAACATCCAAATAAAATGTCTATTAGGCAATTATTATATTCTTTTTTGTTTACGATTTATTCCAATATATATCGGTTATTTATTAATAATAAAACCGACATGTTTTCTATATTAATGACTTTATAAACAACGGGTTTATTAAAAAAATTATAGATAATAAAACACTAAGTATCAGTCAAATTGTATTGTTCAAATGACAGTTTAATTTATCTGTTGAAAGCTTTTTATGAATATTAGTGTACAAAAATTATATTATAGAACTAATTATCACTATGTCCTAATATAAATTATTATTTATTTTCATTGCTGTATTCAAAACGCTTTGATAACACATACGTCAAAATTGTAGTTTCGTATAAAAATCATATTTTGTGGGAAGTAATGAACTTTTAAAAAAGACTTTAGTTACTTTTGATACTATTAAAAGGCATACGTAAAAAATATTACAACAATGGAAATACTCTGTAATTCTTATAAAAGATTTTTCCTAGATTATTTTCTGGGTTCAGGCCTTAGCTTTAGCATTATATACTAAATAAATATTGTGATGTTTTATTAAACTAATGTAAATAATTCTCGGTTGATTTGATGTACAAATTAATGTTTGTTCCTTTATTTACCGACGCTGTGAACTAAATTATAAATAGGCATTCAATTTTCAAGCCGTTGAAAGGATGAACAGTTCGTGTTTGTATCAACTGGCTTAATGGAGTCTTTGGCACATCTCTGATTATAAGAAGAGAATTCAATGTCTTCTTAAACCTTCAATTATATTAATATATACTTCTTTACAGTTTAAATTTTAAAAAAATGCGAAAGAAACTATTTTATTCAAATATTTATTCTTAGTTTAAAACTGTTTTCTTGGAATTTAATATCAACATTATTTTCGATAAAAGGACATCTTTTTAGTACTACAGAGAGATAACAAAAAGTTCTACTAGGATTACTAAGTGCAACACTCGCACTTGTGAATGCGACAGTACTTTCTTAATATGCCATTGTTTGGTTTTATGTCTATTAAATTTTGTTTGTAGTTCAACTTACTCAAACAAACATTGTCTAGACTTTGCCAACCTGTTCAATGAAAACGCTTCTGTACAAAAATTATCGTAGAGCAAAAAACTACGCATTAAAGTTAAAGCAGATGTTGAAAATATAAAGAATGGATTGATTAAGAAAAAGACATTCTATTGGCCTCAGTAATAAAAACATTCGTAAAAATTTTGTTGCTATGAAGCTATTGTGTACAATTTTTGATATTTTTCGTATTTTGTGTACACTAGCTTCGATTTTTGTGTACATTAGTTTTGTGTAGTCCCCAGATTGTCACTCGTCTTCACAGTTGTACCGTGTATGACAGAACATATTTCGGAATAATTATTTTGGTTTATAATTACGGGAAGAAGTATTTTTGAATAATAAACAAATTATTTAACACTCCGTTGAGCTACATGATTGGTTTATATACAATAGAATTGTTATAAAATGTATAATTATATAATTTGGCCGACTTAAATAACTGAGATTGATTAAAAAAATAAGCTTTACCACAGTTCAGTGACCATTTGTATAGAAAATATAAATTAAATTAGATACATATAGAGGTGCACGGTATGTGTATTTTAATTGTCAATACACTTTAAAAAAAGAAGTTAATATAAGCACTTTCTTTCAAAACAAGTTAAATATTTTTTAAATTAAGATATGTACATGTCTTAAATGTATATTGTCGTATTTTAGAAAGTTTAACTTGTTTTTAATTATATTTTTCTTAATTATTCAGTTTTCATCACTTACACGGAACCCTAAATGACCTTTATCAAATAAATTACATCTCATAGATAGTGTTACGCATCAATTTCATCATATCATTGTTTTAATCAAATCCAATATAAAATTATATATAAACAATTTACTACATATATTTAAATTTATTATTTAAAAGGGACGTTATATTTGTAGACATTTTTATAAAGAGTAAATTGTTCAAAATGTCGGGTGTGGACACCTTGACTTTTAGGAAGATTATAATCCACGCGTTTTGTTTAATTATTCTCAGTATGTTCATATTACCGATGACGTACTGTGTAAAGGTTGTACATATATAAAATAGAACAAAACCCAACCATGGGAAACATTCAACAATGGGAAATTTAAAAAATATGAAACCTTGTCGTTTTACAGAAGCAGTTTTTCAGTTTAGAACATCCGAAGGTGTCAATCTGCGATCCAGAATATCTTAAAGACTTCGTGTTGAAATCTTGGAGGAAATCAAGAACGAACCCCATACACTACGTCGACATGAATGTCACCATTATTAAGACAATTGCCACCAAATTCAGGGTGACATAATTTTATAATTTATCGATATGAATTTCCTAAAAACCATCGATATATTTCAAGCCTTAAATTATATATATAGGAGGAACAGTTTCTTAATCAAGCAAAAATAACAGGATTCCCAAAAGATAATTTAAAAAAACATTTTTGTAATACGAAAGCTTTTATTTATATGATAAACATTTATTATTTCAGATGACTCTATCTTTTTATCAACTCCTGTCTAATGTATACAAACCGAGTTTTGTTGAAGTAGATATGCCGTTCTGCGAAATCTTGAAAAAGGATGTCCTGGTTGCCCCGGCTTTCGTGGAGGCTTTCAGACGTAATCCCAAAGAAACTAGGCCTATACCGGAGTTAGAATGTCCACTATTACCAGTGAGTATAATTTTAAATATTACACTTAATAATTTAGTATCAATGTTACTTTAAAATTATATTCTTTTTTAGGGTGTTTATTCGTTTACAAACATGATTATGCCATTAGAAAATATACCAACAACATTTCCATTTAAAACTGGACGACTATATGGCAACCTGACTCTGAATAAAGTGATCATTGGAAGTGCTTACATAGATTTCCAACTGAAAACTGTGGATGTTTAAATTCATATTAAATTAAATATCACATTATTATGTCTTGTATTATTTTTTGATTTTCTTTGATAAATGAAAGGTGTCATTAAAAAAAATATTTCAGCTTATTTTTTTACTTATTTGAAAAGGTTAATAAGTTTAAGGCTTTAAATTTAACTTGCCCATCGGCTATTTTCTTTACGAATTTACACCGTGAAACAAGAATAACTGTAATTTTCGTATTTAATTTGTATAAATATATTAGATTTGTAAATTCCTAGAAAAATAACACCAAAATATAATAAACTTTTACGTTTTCTGTACGCTTGTGTTAAAACCTCCTTTTATTACAGAAAAATAAAACAATCTTTTAATCATTACTTCATCCCTTTTGGTTGTTTTTGTCATTTGTGTGATAACTGTAGGGTATATAATGAAACCTGAATAAAACTTGAAGGTTCTAGAAATACAATTTAATTAGTAAATAAAATTTCTAACTAGTTTAGACTTAAATGAAACTAATATTTTCGGATTTTACTTCGCGTTTTATTTTAGAAACTACACACTCCCGACGTTTCGGCTACTTTTCAGCAACCGTGATCACGGGCAGACGAGATGTTTAGACTTTCCCCTTTTTTTTCAACTATTTCATATTACTCGTTTAATATGTGGTCAAATATATAGACCTAAATCTAATTTATACAGCTTAACTGCATCGAAACCATAATGACTTCATGCAATTATTAGTTATTTATAATCCTTACCTTTATAAAAGCTCTGTACAAAAATTCCTTTAACCTTCGAAGGTTAGTATGTTTTAACCTTTTTTATATGATTCCTATCAGAGTTAGAATTTTTTGAGTGTTTTTTCATGTTTTCTATGTAAATTTTTCCATGTACATAGGTGTACAACTTTGCTTCCGCCGTTTTGCAATATATGGCTGTAGCGGTAAGTGGTAGTCGAAATAAATAGATCGTAGATGTCATACAATAAGCTTAGGCATTTGTAAACATAACGCCATCGAAATATTAGCCGATTTGTGTCTGCATCATAAAGTTATTCTCGATTAAACATGTCAGCTTACGAGCCAAACTCTCGTCATTTGCGGGAGGTTTTAATTTTCTGCTTTAATATAAAGAAATCTGCGGCTGAGGCTCATCGAATGCTCTCAAATACCTATGGTGAGGCCGCTATTAGTGAAAGAACGTGCCGAGAGTGGTTTCAACGCTTCAAGAACGGTGATTTTGACGTCGAAGACCGGCATGGCGGTGGAAGAGAGAAGGTTTTCGAAGATGCAGAATTGGAGGCATTACTTGATCAAGACTCGTGTCAAACGCAACAAGAATTGGCAAGATCATTGGGAGTGATGCATCAAGCCATTTTAAAACGCCTGAAAGTCATGGGAATGATTTAGAAACAAGGAAATTGGGTGCCGTACGAGTTGAAGCCGAGAGATGTTGAACAGCGTTTGTTTGCTTGTGAATAGCTGCTTGCAAGGCAAAGACGGAAAGGATTTCTGCATCGCATTGTGACTGGGGACGAAAAATGGGTTCATTACGATAATCCCAAGCGCATAAAATTATGGGGATATCCCGGCCATGCTTCCACGTCGACGGCCAAACCGAATATTCACGGTTCCAAGGTATGCTCGGTATTTGGTGGGACCAGCTCGGCGTAGTGCATTATGAGTTGTTAAAACCGACTGAAACAATCACAGGCGATAGTTATCGAACGCAATTAATGCGTTTGAGCCGAGCATTGAAAAACAAACGGCCGCAATACTACGAGATACATGATAAAGTGATTTTACAGCACGACAATGCTCGACCCCATGTTGCGAAAGTGGTCAAGACATACTTGGAAACGTTGAAATGGGAAGTCCTACCCCACCCGCCGTATTCTCCAGACGTTGCTCCCTCGGACTATCACTTGTTTCGATCAATGGCACACGGCCTGGCTGACCAGCACTTCCGGTCTTATGAAGAAGTTAAAAATTGGATCTATTTGTGGATCGCTTCAAAAGATGACCAGTTTTTTCAATGCGGGATTCGTATGCTGCCCGAAAGATGGGAGAAAGTAGTGGCCAGCGATGGACAATACTTTGAATCATAAATGTATAACCAGTTTTTTACAATAAAGCCTCGAATTTCGGAAAAAAACGGCGGAAGCAAAGTTGTACACCTATTATTATTTAATTTTTCAATTTTTCCATGTATTATTTATATGTTGTTGCGAATGTCTTTTGTGATCAGTTCATATGTTTTTTATTAATTATAATATCTACATAGTTATATACTTTTTGTGCGAAGCGAAGAATATATTATAACAGTCGTTTAGAATAATCGATATTTTGTATTTTCGTTACTATCCTATGGCCTCAATTTAATAGGTTTTATGTTTGAACATATATATTTAACTAATAATTTTAATATGTAACAAAAAAACAAATTTCATTCTCATAGTTGTAAAGTGTGCTGAACTGTTCAATGTTAATATTAAAATCGATTTTCTACGATTATTGAAATAATTCTATTTTTCATTTAAATTGGTTTTCGAATTAGTATCTGGTTTTCGTTGACATGTAAAATGAAAATTGTAATTACGATTTTAGCAACCATTCAAATTCGTAATTCAAAGCTTGGTAAATAATTAATTAAATGCTTAATTGTGTTTTGAATTACTCGTCTTCGATTATTTCGCGTATTGAAAGTATTTTCTCCGAATTCTCGTCTACATTCTTATTAAATCTCATTAAAAAAGTTTAAGCAGTTCATCTGTGAAGACTTAACAAACATACATATATATATCTTATTATTATAGAATTTATTATATAAGGACGATTATACATTATCGTTTATTTTGAACAGATAATACCAAACAGCGATAGAAAAATTACATTTTGATTTTATAATACAAAAATTATTATCTAAAATCTAATGTAAATCTACAATTGAAGCAACCAATAGGTCCCTGGCATTGTATAATCTCTCTTATGTTTTATAAATGTACAATCCTTTCCCAAATTATTATTCAACTTTATGTTGGAAAAAAACAAATCGAAAAAGCCGTTAGAAATATATTTTTTTAATAAAATAACCGAAACGGATACACTTGATTTAAAAAATTTCTCTCTGATTGCAATTTTAAATAAATAATTGTATCATGGAATAAAACATGTCAAATATTAAGTCTGTGCGGAAATTAAGTGTTTATTAATTACAATTATATATTGTTTCATTAAAATTATAATTAAAAAACTAAATTCATTGATATGAAAAATTATACTGATAATTCGCTTATAAATATCACGCCAAAGACTTCGCACTGTCCCTAAAGATGGCACATACGGACTATCGAAAATTCATTTCTCAGCGGGATATACTCAAAATTGGATTCCACTTGGCACCTGTATAATAAAATTAGCAATACAGAAAATTCAATTAATCATGCCATCAGTGCTAACAACTTCTCGTGATCACTCACTACATTAGATTCATTTGGTTAAAATAAAAATCTTAAAAGTCCATAATTACGTAATTATGGACTTGTTTGATTTTTTTTAGATATAAAAACTATAAAAAATATTTATTCCTGCAACTCTTAAATAAACGACGTTATTTGTTTTGCATTGTTTACAAAACATTTTAGTCTAATTGGTGATTCTTGTTCCAAATATTTTATTTTACAGAGTGAAGTTAACCTCCTCTAAAACAATAAGTTTTAATAAATAAAATTATAAAATACCTACAATTAAGATCAAGGTCCCTTTAAATGATTTAATATTTTAAAACTAAAACGATAGTTTGTTCGTTTATTAATTATTTGGTTAAATCTTGAAGTTCAGAAGTCGCTGCTATTTTCAAGGGATTAGGCAATCAATTTATCTACTGTAACTATCTCATTTTTGAACGTTATAATGTCAATTGTCAAAAATGTCAGCTACTGAATAAAAAAAGTTAAATTATACAACGTAATAATTTTAAATATTTTAACGATGTTAAAATATAAAATGTTTAGTAGATTAATTTTAAAAACATGCTTAATACCACCGCCGTCTCAAATAACGTCATACTCTACGACATCTGGTGCGGAAACCGTAGACTTAGCGTATTCTTCTTACGAAAATACCTCAGATGAGAATATAAAAACTCCTCCTGTTATTATTCTACATGGCTTACTAGGTTCAAAGAACAACTGGAATAGTATGAGTAAAGCTATACATAAAACGACAGGAAGAAAAGTCATCAGTATAGATGCTAGAAATCATGGAGACAGCAAACATTCATCTCAACATTCGTATCTTCACATGGCTCATGATGTCATGAAGCTTCTTAAAAGCTTGGATATAACGAAAGTGTCACTACTAGGGCACAGTATGGGCGGACGTACTGCAATGGTCCTTTCACTGTTATGTGTGAGTGCATATTAAATTTAAATTATACATAGATGTAAAGAAATTAAGCATTGTTGGTAAAGAATAATTAATTAGTGAAGTTTTAGATCTTAATCATATTTCCTAGCTTCGAAATATTGTTGGAAAATAAATGATTTTATTTGATTTCAGTCCGATCTTGTATCTAGCATGATTGTAGTGGATATTTCTCCAGTGAAAATAAGTCCACAGATATTTTCCATGATCAACCTCTTAGATGCCATGGCTGCTGTATCAATACGGTCAGGAATAGCTATGTCCAAAGCAAGAAAACTTGCTGACGAACAGCTTAAAGCAATCACACCGGATGTCAATTTGAGAAATTTCCTCCTTACAAATTTAGTACAAACGAACACCGGATCATATACTTGGAGAGTAAATTTACCGGCCTTAAAAGAAAACTTTCAACAAAATATATCATGTTTTCCAGCCAGTTTGAAAGGTCTTCAATATTGCGGACCCACATTATTTATAGGAGGTTCTCTTTCAGATTTTATAGGGTGGGTAATTTTGTTTCTATAAAAAAGAATAATTGTTATCTGTACTACTAAACAATTAATGATAAATAAAATTTATTTGCCATTAGGAAAAAGGATCTACCCGCAATACAGGAGTATTTTCCACTTGCTGAATTGAAATTTGTTGAAGGAGCTGGCCACTGGGTGCACAGTCAGAAACCGGAGAAATTTCTAGAACTAGTTTGCGGTTTTCTTAAAGATACTTAAATAGAATAGATTTAAGAAACATATCTGTGATCATGTCTACTAGTTGACATTCTATAATAAAAATTTAGTTCAATACCGTTCATGTGTTTATTAAAAAAAACTATACATTTGTTAAATAGTATATTTAGTTTACACTTTATTTATTTTTGAAGAATTATTTTGATGTTCCTTTTTGTTAGTAAATAAATGTTATATTAAAAAAGAATTTTGTAGTGGTTTTATTGTTAACCATAGAAAATTATACTATGATGAACAAATACAGAAATAATTATGGGAATGATTAGTGAAATTTTGATATAGTATATTGAATTTTTAATATTATTAATATTTAGTACATTGAGAAGATAAAATTGCAAAATGATAATTTGGTTATTGCTTGAACATAAATCTTAGTTGTGAATTGACTCTTGATAACCTATTTTAATCAAAATATAAAACAACTTCATTTTGAACACAACCCACTTATATATTAATTTACTTTTCTTGTAAGAATGTAATTTTCTTAAATACTTCAAGGTCACTTATTATCATAATAATCTGTTTTCATTACATTATGTAACTTACTTTATTTTTAGCCCTTATCAAAAATGAGTTCAGTAGGCATAGGTTTAACATTTGAAAAAAAAAACTAAGTTGCTTAAGAAAGGAGGTAAATTTTACATAGTGAATATATATAGGTATGTAGTATTAGACAAAACTGAAAACGTCTTAAAGTATTCGTGAAATGGTATGGTCTAAGGATGTCAGTAAGAATTTATGGTCCTCAAGACTGTTAATTTTTTTACTAACACAGCTTATAATTTATATTTTTATACATCTGTAACATCCGCCGTAGCCATAATTGTGGTGAATTATCGCACATTTATAAAATTTACTTAGACGAATTATAAATGTCAAAAATAGATTCTGTAGGTTTATGATATTTCTCAAGGTTAATTTGTGTCTCTTCTACTTTTATAAAGATCTTCAAAGTTAGGATTTAAGATAGGCTGCTGTTTACACTCATTTAGGAATATTTTACGTTTTTTTAAACTTTAAACCTAAAATTACAAGTTACGTCATATTATTATCTTAACTTCACACTCAAATAAATATTATCATAGTTCATAGAAGTTACAGAAAATAAGATGGGATTCCCTTGATTTGGAAACTATTATAAAGATGGCCGACAAACTCTGTCTGGCAGGTTAATAATAATATAAAAAATGCGTCTAAAAATAATCTAGATATCCATGACAATTTTACACCTCAAAATTAATATCTATTCATATCAATTACAAGTATGAATTCGGTCACCACATTTTTTTTTCTTCTCGGGTTTCTCGGGCTACTAATAGTTTTTAAATAATTCGGTTGCGGTTAAGGAAGTATTTATTTCTAAAACAATAATATCGCTCCACAACTTAGAACAATCCTTTTTTTATTTATATAAATATATTAAAGATAATTTATTTAAAATTAAAATATAATTACGGTAATTGACAAATAAATGTACAATACTATATTTTCCTGTTTATAATTTCCTATTATATTATAATAACCACTTCCTCCCTATGTTTAGAATATTTACATAATTAAAATCAAAATATTTTGACAATAAAAAGATTGTGGTTTTGCACAAAATTAATTTTGTTCTCTGAACTAATTTTAGGGAATCGTTATAAAACCCATCGTTATAAGAAGACATCGTCATTAAAGCTTCATAATTCTGTGAAGTCAATTGGTATTTAATATATTAAACATATTAGTTTAAAATATAGTAAAAATGGAACGCGTTTTAAAAAGCTTTAATTTACTTTTTGATCGTCCCTTCGAACCGCTGATAACTCCAAAGGGGGAAGATAAAACAGTGTTCCAAGTTGCAAAAGAGTTTTTGGTGAGTTTGAAATAAATATTAAATATTTACATCTATATATATAAATAAAATAAGGGTATCTGATTAGCGATTATAATATTAGAATAACCGTTTTTGAGCAATCATGTGGATTTATAGACGATACTTAAATTATTTATTTATTTTCTGTTTTTTGGTTCCGCTAGTCAAGCTGAAAGCGATAGACCAGTTTTAACTATCCTTAACTGTGTATTAGCTGTTGTAATAAGAAATGCTTCTATTACATTAGATTGAATTTAACATAAAAAATAAAAACGATTAAACGCATGATGTTACGTGTTCAAATATTGAGGAATTTACTGGTTTCTATTAAGCAAAACCATAAAAAAAATCTATTACAAATGTTTGAGAAACCTAGTTATTACTTTTAAGCAATTACTATTCAGCCTGTTTATTTTTTATTCTCTACCATATCTTTGTCGTTATGAAGTCATAAAATAAGTAATATTTGACTACAATCTGAGACATGGAATGCAGCTAGTTACAATGATAGAATACAAAACCGTGGAAAAAAATACCGGTGAAATGAACCAAGGCGAATAACGCTTAGAAGCTCTGAAAATGTAGGACGCTATTCAGCAGGGGTCGAAAACCAAGAATCGCAACCCTTATCAGAATAACCATATACATAGGTGATGATGTCGAATAACATAAAATTAAATGATCTTCAGAGTACTTCATGAGTAAATAATATTTTCCAACATGCCGTACAATTTTAAATAATAATAAATAAAGGTTTTTAACGTTTTGAAAAAATTTTCGGCAAAAGATAAATGGGTGACACTTTTGACAGTTTAAAAATATATATGGCGTTCATGGGAAACGCATCTGTATTGTGTATATGTATACCTACGAAAAGAATTACACAAACACCGACCCGTAATAAATTACTTACAAGTAATCAGTAATAGCTTCTACAATTATCGGCGAACTACTAGGTTTTTCGACATTTATTTTTAATAAACCATAAGCTATAAAAGCCGTACATTAAAATATAGGAGCAATTCGTTCCTTGTACCTGGAAAATTCCATTTAGGTGCTCACCTACCCACCTCAAAAAGACGGCAAAACGTCTAGTTATTTTATGAGATAGCACCTAACACTTAACAGCCTTCTAACGGTATTTCACTTTATTTCATTTCATACTTTATTTTTTTCCACGGTCTTGGGCTTTAAGTGTATGAGTTTAATGGAAATATTATAAAGATATCACGTGATTGTTTGCTATTAAATTAAAAAATAATACATAAATGCAAAATGTATTCGCATATTATTCTCTTTTCACTTTTCCTTGCAATTACGACTAAAAATTTTATTAACTTTAATAATTTAAAGCAACTTATACTACATATCTAAAAGATTTATATTTAGAGCAATATTTAAACAAAAGTATTTGTATAATTTATATATAAGAGCGATTGTGCTATGACTGAATATTTTAATTTTAAAAAGGTATTTTTCCTTGACCCGTATGGTCACCACAAATTTGTGGTAATACATACGATATACTGTAGCAGTTTCCGTCTCATTGTAACCTAAAATATACCGTGGTAGGAAAATGAACATGTTAACTATTTTATTTATAAGCTATGTTATTTATGCTTGTCCTTGAATGATCAACACAATTCATCTCCACGAAGTAGTGGACCCTTTAATAATTTTAAGCGAATAATTACGATAAATTATTTAATTTAACACCATAACTTCATGGTGCTTCAAAATTATAAATTACTAAACTTCTGTTTTATCACTATTTTTCATATTATTTTATTACTGCTTACTAGTATTGAATTTTAATTTGTAAATCATAAATATGAAGTATGTATGTGGATATGTTTTATAAACTGTTTTCTGTATAAAAGGATAAAGATTATCAGGACATTGGTGCTGAGATCAATAACCGCTTTGGAAATGAAACTACTGACGTAATAGTATTGAATAAATTGAACAAACTACCAGAATTCCCGAAAGCTAGCAAACTACCAAAAGATGCTGTTTTTTCATTGTTCCTACCAAGCCACCAGGAAATGGCGAAGGAGGTGTTGGAAGTACTGCTAGGTAAATTAAATCACAATTAATCTTTCAATTATTTTATTATATAACGTTTCAAATATAATATAAATTAAATTATCTACATTCCACAGCCGTCCCGGAGAACCAATTGCAGGACCTTCTGTCGACATGTGCCTATTCAAGAATGCATTTGAACCCCCAACTCTTCAACTACTGCTTTTCTGTCGCTCTGATGCATAGGTCGGTATAAAAATATATTTTTATATTTGATTAAATGTTATAATATGAGAAATAATTGTATATTTCATTACAGACCAGACACTAAGAATGTCCCACTTCAAAACCACGTTGAGACTTTCCCCTCAAAATTCATGAACTCCCAAGTCTTTGGCCAAGCAAGAGAGGCTGCAGCCTTACAAGCTAAGGGATCGCCGGTATATTATTTTATATCTTTTTCTTTACCACCACAACAGTTTTCACATTTTTTGTCAGTTCCTGAACATAGAACTGGTTTATAATTTGGTGTCCAAGGCCCTAAACTATCATTAGCATAGAAATCCATAGGATATGTGCCGTCATCTTTTAGCCACTTACTATTACCAAGTGCCACTGAAAATTCATATGGAGTTAACAATGGCCTTGGAAAAGCTGTGCCCCAGTCAATAGAAAGTCTCGGGCAAGCTATTTGGACGAAGGCATCTAAATCAAACAATGCCAATTTGCTAGGAAATATCTCAGACAACAGTATCTTAACATAGCTCTTGTCAGCATTTTGTATTTGTTTTTCCAAGTTAGCTAAAACCTTTGTACTTCCTTGTCTGCCCAAAGTGCCAAGAATGAGTCCAAAACTTGTGGCATTCTCGGTAGTCTTTATTTGATTCCTCCTATTTGTTTGCATTAATTCATGCTCGTAAGTTTCCAATGTAAATTTTTTGTCATAAGGATCATATTTGTAAGCAGGAATGGTTGGGTTTGCTATCATTATAGACTCTAAATGAAATCTTCCATCACCGAGGTATACAATGACATCGGCATTCAATTTAGGTGCAGTACAACCAAGAATTTCACCAGGTGATAGCGGCTTACTCTGAGGAACCGAGACTATATAACCCTCATTTCTCAAACTTTTAGCAACAGAATGTAATGTCGTCACAAACTGTATCGTACTTATGATAGCCAGATGTGTTGGTTTAGGCAAATTTAACTTTATAGTTTCTATAAAATGAGATGGATCTATTTTTATGTCTACAAATATGTATAGAACTTTTATGTTGTTTGTTTGATCTATGGGTATAAGGCACGAGTGTCCATAGTGAACTAATAAATCAGCATCCAAAGCAATTGCGGTGAAATCGTCAATACAACACGCACCATACGTCACATCACCCATTATAATAGTATCGGCTTCAGTAAACGCCTCAATTATATCACACAAAGTAGTTGCAAACATCGTCAAACCTGTAAAAAAAGTAGAACATTCTTAGTCAAAACATATCACATCCTATAACACTATTTTAACAATTTACTATTTCTCACATACCTTCAGGTAGCTGTAGAGCTACTACTTTTGAACCCAGAGATCTTATCCTCCATATCGTCTTATGTATCTCAAAATTATAATTCTGCGGTAATGATTCACAAGCTCTGTTTAAAAGCGGGTCATTGAGTAACTCATCCGGTATTTTATTTATCGAACGAATGTTAGGTTTAAATGTTTTCCGCTGTCCTTCAGGCTTAGCACGGACTACTACTACGTTTTGGTTGGTTTCGAGAATATCCATTTTTATAAAATCATAGTTATAATAATATAAATACAATTTTCGTCAGGTTATTTATTTTGTTAAAAACAAACACGCGCGAGCCGCGAAGTTTGGCCTACGTGACTTTTGCCAGGAAATACGTTCCGTTCTAACAATGCGAATAATAGCATTTGTGCGTTACGACAGAGTATTTACAAGAGATAAAAATACTTATCCTGTTATAATGAAGCAAAGATTTAATTTATATTTATACTAATACTTATAATAATACCAGCAATATCAAAAAATATTTAAAGATAAATAGGACTTACTTCAGATATATTTTTTTCTATAGTGTAATTCTCCCTTTCTATAGTAAATATTTTGCCAAAAATATTGTTTTTTCGTAAAGATTTAACAAACTTTAAAATTTGGTCTTCTTATATTTTATACAACTTGCGAAGATATATTCATATCAGTATAAAATTTTAGTAAATATTTGATTAATACATTGTGTATTAATTTTGGGTTTGTTTGCTCAATACATTTCGGAAATCATATTGTAATTCTAATTGACCCAATTTTATTTATTATTTTCATTAAATATTAAATAGAATAGTCTTCATTGTTATGAAATTCACATATATAATTTAGTTCTTGTTATGTTCCTTATGTGGCAATGTTCATGTATAATATTACATTAAGAATCGAAAATGCTAATTGATTGGAAAAATAGCTCACAATGGTCAAAGTGGTCACAGTTATACCTTTAACAAAAACTTGCAGGAAACGTTGTATTGACACAAATAGCGAAATTCATGTCGTGGCTGAAATGTTATTCGATTATATTATTATATCTCGTTATGGCAAAGAAGAAAAGCCGTGACGAATATGGAATATTATTTGATTATAACCCTATCTACTTTCCAATCTGTGTCCTACTAGCCTTAGGCTGGAGACGTTTTGTAAGATATCCTTAAAATAACGAGGGATTTTTTGTATTTAACTATAATCCCATGGCTTGTGGGCTATTTTTCCACTCACTGAACGTTTTCAAGTTTAAAGCGTAACATATACAAAAACCATCATAATTATAGATACATAATCAACCCCTTTCGATCTTAGATACTTATTTTTCTTATGTAAAATATGTTTTTTTTTATTATGATGTTAAAGATAAGGTTGCATCACTAAAGCCAATCAATTCTTTTTAGCGTATACCAATCATCATTCCAAGAGATTTCACTGCTACGGATTTAGATGTTGAGCATCGTCTGGCGTACTTCCGTGAAGACATCGGCGTCAATCTACACCACTGGCACTGGCATCTTGTTTATCCCTTCTCTGCTCCCCGGAGAGAAATGGTTGCTAAGGATCGTCGCGGAGAATTGTTCCTCTACATGCACCAGCAGATAATAGCTCGGTAAATTATGTTATGAGAAATAGAATGTTTACACTTATATACACTACATAACCAAAGAACTATTCGTGTATTAACTGCTTTAAATCTTCATCAGATACAACGGCGAGCGTCTTAACAACATGCTGTCAAGAGTTAAGAAATTCAGTAACTGGTCGGAAGCCATACCCGAAGCTTACTATCCAAAACTTGACAACCTAACAACCTCCCGAGGCTGGCCGCCGCGGCAGGCGGGTATGAAGTGGCAAGACCTGGATAGACCGGTGGACAACCTGAAGGTGACCCTTGGAGATATGATGCGTTGGAGGCGAAACATCGATGACGCTATCTCCACCGGCTTCGTGATTCTGGTACGGTATAAGAACTCTTGTCTCTTCGAGGTGTCCTAAAGATTAAAAATCCGCCTCTCCTGCATGAGGCCTCGGGTTCAAAACCTGGCAAGTACCAATGTGATTTTTCCGAGTCATATGTAAGAGTATTTAGACACAACTGATAGACGGTGAAGAAAAACATTGTGAGGAAACCTACATAGACTTCTAATTTCCAATTATAAGTTTGAAATCACCAACGTAGTGAGCAAGCGTGGTGATTAATGCTCCAACCTTCTCCATGTGAGAAGAGGCCTTTACTCAGCAGTGGGCTCTGATAGGCTGATGATGATGATAACTATGATTAGAAATCTTACTAACTGGTAGAAGTTAAAGTCAGCTCAATGTAAAATATGGTTAGACTACAGAACATACTATATTTGTGAACTTCATACTTGAAGTCTTAAGTAAATTGTATTTGTATGGTAATAGCCGGACGGTAGCACTCAGCCTTTGGATGCGGACACTCTCGGAAACATGGTGGAGGCGAGCATTCTGTCTCCCAACCCACAACTATACGGATCCCTTCACAACAACGGACACAACTTCACAGCTTACATTCACGATCCACAACACAGATACCTGGTAAGTATGACTGAACGAGATTGAAATTAAAACCTATTTCTTAATTTCTTCGAAATTCTGTATATTCTTCAAAATGTTATAGTCTTCGAAAAGTGAGTAGGTATAGAGTGTAAAAACCAGAATTATATGGAAAATGGTCTTCATCGGCATTGTATACAATTTAATGTTGTAAGGAATCCACGAGCGTCATGGCTGACGAAGCTACCACGATGAGGGATCCTTTCTTCTACCGCTGGCACGCCTTCGTCGATGATCTCTACCAGAAGTACAAGGAGTCTGAATCTGTGACTAGATACATGCGCAGTCAAGTAATTATAATTTTCGGAACTATTTTGCTTACTATTCTTGGCTGCTCGGTACTATTTTAATATTTTGATGTTTATTTATGACTAAGTAACTCTAAAACTATTTCTTTCTCACTCCAGCTGGATAACCCAGATGTAACAATAACAAACGTTCGTATAGTCAGCGACTCCGGTCCTGATAACACACTGAACACTTTCTGGATGCAGAGCGACGTCGAGCTCTCGAAAGGTCTCGACTTCTCCGAAAGAGGATCAGTTCTCGCGAGATTCACTCACCTGAACCATAGAGATTTTAGATACGAGTAAGCTTTCAACTTGAAAAAATTCCGAAAACAAAGACAAAATTACTTAAGTATGTAACGTATAAACAGAAATTGTCCTAAAGAAAACTAATTCATGGACCGTTGTTAGAAATTAAAACTATGATTTTTGAATTTGTTTCTATTATATTGTACCTGATCTTTGGATAACTTTACAGCATCCATGATCCATGTCACACGAGATGAAAGAAACTGTTGTGTAGTAAACCCAAAGAGAAAAGTTTTATTTCAATATTATTTCTTAGATTTCTTGGATATTATTATTTTGTTGACAACTTAATTTCAACACCATTTGTTATCAGAATCGACGTCATGAATTCGGGTAAAGCTCGTCTCACAACCGTGAGAATCTTCATGGCTCCCTCATTGGATGAACGAAAATTGCCGTGGATATTAAACGACCAAAGGAAAATGTTCATAGAAATGGACAAATTCGTCACCACCCGTAAGCCAACTACAGAGAAAACTATCTATACTAATCCTATTATATGCCCATAACCTGCAAAGCCTGATATCACTCACTCACCCTCTCCATTTTTCATTACATTAATAATCCAGAAAGACATAGATTTATTTACGAAATCAATCCCAAGACAACTGTAACATTCGAAATTAAAAATCAAATCTCTCCACAACTATAACACTTGAAATTCAAACCAGTGAACGGCGGGCCGAACAAGATCGTTCGGTCATCTACGGAGTCGTCGGTAACGATCCCGTTCGAGCAGACGTTCCGCGACCTGTCCCGCCCCGGAGACCAGACGTCTGGAGACCTTACATCCACCAGCTTCTGTGGCTGTGGGTGGCCGCAGCACATGCTGGTGCCCAAAGGGACGGAGGCCGGCGCGCAATACGACCTCTTTGTCATGCTCTCCAACTACGATCATGATAGTGTTAGTATACACTATTTTGATAATGGATTTTTTTCATACATTGCTCATACCCCAATGCACAGCTATACTAACTTTTTATATTTATTTCAGGTGAACAATCCTGATGGGTCGCCGATGACCTGCAAGGAGGCTTCCAGCTACTGCGGTCTTAAAGACCGGCTGTATCCTGACAGACGCAGCATGGGCTACCCCTTCGACAGACCTTCCCGCGACGCTGCCAACCTCCAGGACTTCCTGCTACCCAACATGTTCAAGCAGGACATAAGAATCGTATTACAGAACAGCCCCGTCGAGATCAATCCGAGAAACCCTAGTAATTAGGCGACGGGTCCCAAGACGTGTGAATTAAATATGACCAGAATAAGATCGTATAATGGATTAATTCGATGTTATTGTAATTTTTCATATATTTTAGATTTAAGTAGAAAAATTGTGAAAGCCTGATATATTATGACTTATCTGTATTTGTACATATATTTACGACTAGTTATATTACAGTGACCTACTAGTGTTAATAAATTGAATAAGAAGCATAGTCATACGTCTTTCACTGTCATTTTACTGCAGTTCCAATTAGTATTAACACGAATACTATAACTAATATAGGTAATACTATAAAATATATTAATTACTTTCTAGTAACCTGGCGAACTTCGTATCGCCCTATAATCAAGAAATATCTATTACGTTTTTTTATTTATATTTTTGGAGTTTACCTGTAAGCCATAAATCACCGTGTTTTGAAGTGCGATAGAATGATTGACATATTAGTTAGTTGTCAAATCTAATGTCAAAAAAAACGTTTGTATGGGAAATAGAACAGGGCTGTTTTTATGGTTTTCCCAGTAATGAATCAATTTTTTTCAGCTTTTATACCTTCCCTGAACCTCCACGAACATTTCAAAACTAAGATAAGATAAATCCGTTCAGCTGTTCTCGAGTTTTAGCGAGACTAAGGAACAGCAATGCATTTTTATTTTTATTTATTTATTTTTTTTTTTTTTTGGTAAAGTCACCAGTCATGGACAGTATAAGCGATATTTTTAGAGATTCGCTTTGTAACTTCTTCATTTTTCAATATATATTCTTTGGCATTAGAAGGTAAATAAAAAGCTCTTTTTTCAATCAGTATTCCATGTTTAATTTTAGTTTGGTACTCAGTACAATAAAATATTGTAAATAAACTACACTCCTACTTAGACACCATTAATGGACAGATATAATCCAGTATAGGACACCCATTCATGGACATAATCTAAATATGAACAGCCATCAATGGACAGTAATAATCTTTTCAAAATAATAAGGATTTCTGATTCTAAAGTATTTATAATCTGTTTTGTCGTGTTAATTTTCTTTTCTATTGCTGATGTGGAAACAGTTGCACGATTTTGTGAGCTTATTTTGTTCATATCCACATACTCTGGACCAAAGGGAAAAAGCCCACTCTTACGAAATCCGTTTTTTTTATGGTGTCTGTCGAAATATTTTGTAAAGCTGTCTCAAAATTTGGAGCAAAATGCTCTCTTTTCATTGTTTGATTCGGATTACCCATTTTCCAAGTCTTCACCTGATTCTGCCATGCTACCTTTAAAGGCCTAAACACCACAACGTCCATCGGCTGAAGCAGATGAGTCGAGTTCGGGTAGAGATAACTTCAATCATATTATTTTTACAGAAATCTGACAGATGCAGTGTCATGTGTGACCTATGGCCGTCCAAGAATAATATAACTGGTTAATGGTTTAGGTATATTTTGTGAACGGACAGGAATCTAACTTTTTCTCAAATATAATTTTTTGGACACTATCAAGCAATTGTTCTTTGTAGACAGGAAAATGTTTTTCACCCATAAATGTTATCCATTTTACGAGAAGAAACTCGTAAAATGCTTCTTCGTAGGTGAGTTCCGTAGTTGGACCTAGATTACAATCAATTCGACTTTTCCCGGTAATTTTATTATGTAATGTTATCCTTGGGACTCCGTATCTTGTAGCGGCAACAGATATTTTCTCCTAAGTGCCATTTCTGTTTGGAAAAAAAGATTTGTTTGTATTAAAAATATGTTGAACCTATTACAGACATCCAGTCATGGACAGAATGTCCATTATTGGATAGACAAAAAATTAATTTCAGTTTTCTAGAGAAACATGAAGATATATTAGTACAGACGTATGATACATGAAAAATAATAAAAATCAGGAAGTTCCCTTTATGGACACTCTGTACATGATTGGGTGTATGTGCTTGAATAATATCCAGTTATGGACACCGGTAATTCAAAGGTTTAAATCACAATGACATTTTGTGTCATATTATAAAATAAATGTACTACTATTGATAAATCACTAGATAATAACAATTTCAACAATGAAGATACACCTGACACATAACAAGACGATAACTGTACGTACTCGCAACACGAATCTTCTAATAAATTACGATTCCCGGCACCAACTGCCGCCGCGCAACAAAAAACCTATATGACCGCCATCCAAATGGATGTAGGCTGTTAAAAACAGTTGGTATGACCACTACAGTGTTGACTCAACAGACCCGTGTTGTCATTTGAAATAAAATTCAGCGTCTTTGCTTAATTTTGGAGGAAAAGTCAAAAATTGTCCAAGACTGGTCCGCGTCCAACATAGGTGCCTTTATAGAAGACTAGCTTTCCGCCCGCAGCTTCGCCGCGTGGAGTTCGGTTATATCGCGTTTCCAAGAGAACCTTTCAAAAGTCTGGGATAAAAACTATCCTATGTTCTTTCTCAAGGTCAACTCTATCTCTGTACCGAATTTCATTAAAATCAGTTCAGTGGTTTAGGCGTGAAAGCGTAGCAGACAGACAGACAGACAGACAGACAGACAGACAGACAGAGTTACTTTCGCATTTATAATATTATAGTAGGGATAAATAATGAGAATATTGAAGGTCAAAGTTGTGTTTATAAAATTTGAAATCTTTAAAAATTATTAGAATTTTGCAAAGCTTATAGTCGATTTCTTATTTAATATTTCCTTCATTAAATCGATACTAAAACTTTTCTGTTTATAATCAATAATTTAATAAATTTGAATACAGTTGAGTTTACTCATTTCACTATAAATTTGTCAATAATTAATACATTACGACTTGCTTATTATTGTTACACAGGTAGACCGTAGAGGTTTACTCTTAGATCAACTCTCTTTGAAGTTCTGACCTGAAGTTTCCAAGGGTTGGAAGTTGGAACACTCCAAAGTGAAAGACCTCGGGGCACGAAATATACAAAATAATCACTTTTTCTCATCATTCGACGATATAGCACAGGGGTGGCCAATTTGATTAGACCTAAGATCTACTGTTTACTAAAGAAACCCTGTGCGATCTACCAAGTACATACCAAGTACTTCTTGAAATGAAACTGCACAGTAAACTAGTGTGAGCATTGCGCCCTAACATTTTCCACTAGTTTAGCATAATCAGGTTTATAGTTGGAAATTGCCAACCTTAAAGAATTTAACGTATGAGGGTCTGACAAGCGAGAACGGTGTTTAGTTTTGATTTGTTTTAAGTAGGAAAATACTGATTCACATAAATATGTTGAAACAAAACACGAATGAAGTTGTTCAACACTTTTTTTAGAATTTTGATTTTTTTTCTTTGGAAACCAATACCCAGAAATCTTGACCTGCGGAAGACCTCGCTTTTAGAAATATGTCGCAGCGCAGAGTATATACTATATTGTTACAGCGGTGAGTCGCGTATGTGCGGCTCAGTCAATTAGCTAATTAGCAAATTAATTAATTATATTATTGTCAGCCAATTTATGTATTATTTTAAATTGAGTCATTGTTACTTAAATAAATGAAATAAATCCCTACTAACATTATAATTGCCAAAGTAAATCTGTCTGTCTGTCTGTTACGCTTTCACGCTTAAACCACTTATCCAACAAAACGTGTCGATGCTACGACACTCACCGTGAAATCCCCTAAGTGTCAACCGAAGGTCACTTACGACTGGTTTTATTATAGAAAATAATAATAAAAATGATTGAAAAGACGTATATGTAGATAGAACACAAATAAAACAACACAGTTGTATAATAATTAATTATTTTTATTTTAAAAATACTTTTGTTGCCATAACTTAAATAGAATTTATATATTTATGTATGATTTCCATTTTACGATTTAGAAAATACATATTAAAAAAAATTACATAGCAACATAGAAAATTATTTCTTTTACTGACGGTATATATCCCAAAAAAATAATCAATTATTAAAAACGGAATAATTACATTCCCCTTCAAAATATAATATTTTTCAATTTTAATCTACAACAAAAATAACATTTGTATTGCATTAAATCAAAGCAAGAATAGAAATCAAATTACATGAAAAACAATATTATAATTTTCCATTACATTACATTCGTATTTTAAATGTAACTTAAACGGTTACATTCAATCAGAGAATTCAAAATAATGTTGTATACGCTCGACACTTGTATAACATATGATTTAGTTTGCCATCAATCACCAAGTGCTGTTTATACACAAAGCTGTACCAATCTCACGAGCCTGTACAAAAAAATATATATATATTAGTACGAACTTTAATATTAAAAAAATCATTGCAAATCGAATCACATAATAAACATGTTCTTTTGTTCTGATTTTATTTTAAAAGATATTTTCTACTAAAATCTTTATCGATCTTATCTTAAATAAGCGTTATCGTAAAAATACACAAATTATATGTATTGTGATTTCTTCAGTGGTTCCATGGTCTATGCTACATCCTAATGTTGAAACTGACTTCATAGTTTTTAAATAGATATTATTTATCTACGTTTCTCGAAGTGAACAATAACGCCCTCTTGTGGGGACTGCAGACTTAAATACGCAGTAATAGACTCACGTCCGGGGTTCAATCCTCCTCGTCTGAAGACATCACTAGACGTTGCCCTGGGCTTGACGCCGCCCTGGGCTTGACGCCGCCGCCTGGAACGATAACATACAATTATAATATTTAAAGTCAATATTATTATTATATATAATAAGGAACATCTAAAAAAAAAGTATATAAAAGCAGTTTTCGATAGAGACCGCATTCTGAACACTGAACAGACGCGGCCGGGGTTCCGTCCTCCTCGTCTGAAGATATCACGATAAAACGCCAAGGTATGACGCCCGTCGCGCCTCGCGTGATGCGGCGAGCTGAAGACTCACCCCGCACCTCTGGAACGATAACATACAATTATAATATATAAAGTGAATATTATTATCTACATTTATAATGAATCCGTAGACCGATCAATTCTGTACATAAAATATA